TGTGCAATGACAATAAAGTTGCTGTCCGCGTGAAGGGTCTCAAAACCCGAAGTGCTCACGTGCCGTTATCTCTGTGTCTCTTCATGCTGTGTACGAGCGATTCGTGAACGATTTGTAAGTGAGAAAAAAGAATGTGACCAACACTTTGCAGAGTCACGGGCAGCTCTCTGAAAGTGAAAACGGTCAGATTTGTGAAGTAAATATGTGTGAATAATCATTCTTTATTACTTATTTGGGTTTTTATATACACATTTGTAGGATGGTTTGATGAATGTGTGTTGACTGGACTGCGGAGTTGTAAGTACTCAAATCAATCACACTCGATGTTGTTCACATGTGGATCATGTACAGATCATATTTTTTTTCTTCTCAAAATCTTTTTGGGGACCATTTTCTCCAAATAAAAGCAGCATGGAGCCGGTGTGTGCGCTCCATGCTTGACACAAACGTCCTTATACAGGCACTGCTGCCTGGCCCGTTGTGCTCTCAGCTCTGCGCTCTGAGCCTAACCCGGGTTTTCTTCCTCTCAAGTTCACGAATGTGTCATGTAGTATCACAAATGCAAAGATACGATAGAGAAAGGTGATCTTTTTTCTTTTTTTATCACGGGGTAACAGAGAAATCAAAACCGGATGTTGTCGTTTTATTCGTTTTGCCCGCTCTCCTTTACAGAGAGAGCAAAGCACTTGTGCCTTTCCTCCTGCACATTCCCTCCCTCTACAAACACACACCTCTGACTTCACCTGAAGCGTGAATTTCGTTGTTGACGAGGCTAAACTTTTTAAATCTGTGAACTGTGCTTCACTGTAATGTCTCCTGGACGGCTACACAAACAGCCTCGACACTGCGCGTGGTGACGCGAGGACACGACCGCGCTCATCGGTCACGGTTCAAACCCGGAGGCGAGACGGCCAATTAAATTTCGACGCTGCTTGGGGGCTCGCGTGCGCGCACACGCTCTCTCCCTGTCATACGGCTACTGCGCATACCTCTCAGATAAGCTGCACCAGGCTGAGTGTCAGTTACAGAGTACAGGCTCTCTTCCAGGCTTTCTGGCAGCAGTGAAGCAACGCTATGCCTCTGCCCACCGTCTCCCGACTGTTCAGGAGCGCGCTGAGGACTCAGCTGGTCTCTGTGGCTAATGTGACGACCAAACCTGCTAAACACACCGTAACTGCAGGGGTGAGTTCATATTCGTTCTGTGAGCTTTACATGCCTGAAGCAGGGGTCTTGTCCCGGCTGAAGTTGCAGAGGTTCTTAATTAATAGCAACAGGCTCAACTTCATCGCCCGCTCCTTCGCTTTATTAAACCTTAATAGCAGTTCTTCTGCATCACATACACACATATTAGCATGATATGATGGGCAACCTGCCTGCTTGACCAACTCTCTCTTACAAATAAGAAATTTCTTTTGCTTATTTACTGAATATTGTATATAAAATATCGAATAATTAAAAATAGCAAATGTAGGATATCTTTCGTTTCCTCGCGCCATTGTTTCACGGTGACTTGCAAGTCCAGTTTATTTTTAAGACTTTGATAAGTGCGCCACTATCTCGCCATTATTCCGCCTAATTCCAACACGTAGACCTGTGACAGCTGCGAATATGTGGGCCTAGTGCGCAGCGCACTACATTTGAAGACCGCGCACGGTCGTTTAATAAATGAAAGTGAAGCCGAACAAGCGTTTTGGTATTTTTCCACATTTAGACATAAGTTTGATAAAGTAGTCTAACAGCAGTAGCGGCAGAAACACTCGCAGCCGCGCTGAACGGGTGACTAACCTTGATGCAGGAAAGGTCAGACACAGAGAAGCATGCTTTTCAGAAAAGCACACAATACATAAAGAAATAACTGCATTTAGGGAAGAACAGCGTATTTCAGCTCACTGTGACGCTTTTAATGTCGCAGCGACACAATAAGCATGAAGTTATTGACAATGAAAGGTTTGGTTTCATTTCGTCTCCAGGAAGGGCTTAATCATTAACTGGGGCAATGGTTGCATAGTTACACACTGCCCGTGGATAAGGCCACGCGAGGGACAACTATGTTGATACCTCACAACATGTAGAACAACAACGTTTTCACATATTTAGATATATTAGATGTGTTTTAGCTCTTGTGGACGGATGGAACTGATACTTTTCTACAGCAAATATATTTCCTCTTAATACCACATTACAATTCATTTTTAGGGGGATTAGACAGTGATCGTGTTTATGCTGCCGAGTGATATGATTTGAGCCTGGGCAAAAGGCTAAAGCTAAGTGTGAAACAATAAATACCTGAAATAGAAATAACAAATAGACTTTCCAAAAAGACTCTTACAATTTATGTCTTTAGTTTTTGTCAAATTGGTCACATTTTTTTAACATAACCAGCACAAGGAGGCACTGGTAAATATAATTAATGACTGGGATTTCTGTGTGATTTTGAGTCAAGTGTTTCTATTTTATTAAATCTAAGTAACTACTTAAACTAAGTCTGCAATTCTTTTTTAACACTTCCTTTTTCCTCTTCTTTTTTAATCAATGAAGTAAAACGGAGGTGTGAACAAACATTCAAAACCTAAAAAAGCAAAGCTGTAATAACTGTCGGTGTGGTTTTGTGTACCCCTCAGGAGCAGGTAATCGCTATGACGGTCCTTTTTGTGGCCATCTTGGGTCCCTCTGGCTGGGTACTGGCTCACCTGGAGGACTACAAGAAGAAGGAATAGAAGAAGAGGTGGAAGACCAAACGCTCACATGAAGACCAGTCAGCACTCTCTTCCCTGTTCTTCACCAGCTGTTGAGATGACATGTTGATCTTCTCTTTCCAAATGGTTTTTGCACTGACTTGCGATAATATGTTCACATGTCCGCATACAAACATTATCAATAAATGCATGTTCAGTCCACAGAAAATGGGTGAATGTGTTTTTCTAGTGACAGAAACGACATAAGCCACACGTTTTAATCAGAATAACCATTTAGATGAAACTTTATTAATCCCTCAGGTGGGTTCCTCCAGGAAATTCAGTTTCCAGTAGCAAAGCACCGAAAGAAGTTGCATGTTACAGATACATTAAGGGGAATGAGAGTAAGGATATAAGCATAAATACACCATATATACACATATATAGATACAGAATATATAATATGGATAAATAGGATTGCTCATTTGAGTGAGTATATTGCACAGTGATTATTGCACAGTCAAATATAAGGAAAAAAAGGTCCTCTTCTCTGCCACTGTCACCAGAGTGTCCAGCTTCATGCCGACCACAGAGCCAGCCTTCCTGATTAGTTTCTCCAGCCTGGATGAGTCCTTCTTTGCTGTGCTGCCCCCCCAGCACACCACGCCATAGAAAAGTACTCCTGTGACCACTGACTGGTAAAACATCCTCAGGAGCTTCCTGCAGATGTTGAAAGACCTCAGCCTCCTTTTCTTGCAGAATGTCAGAAAATACTCCAAGTCAAGGTTGCATGTCCTGATTTGTTGATTTCTCTGACAGATAACCATATTCTGTTCACACGAATGACATGAAACTGAGAATGGTGAAACTTCTGTTATAGTCTAAGTTTAATGGCTCATTTTGGGGGGATTTGAACTCGTGCAAATAAAAAACATGCTTAAAATTTGCTGGTATTTTGGAGACACTGGATTTCCATTTCTCCCACATATCACTGATGGAAGGTGGGTCCAGAGGAACACAGGTGTTATAATGTGGTGTTCATCAGTTTTTATTTCTGCATTTAGATTTAAATTTGACTTTAGTCCCAGTTTAGTTTTCAGAGTGCCTTTTTCTAAATTTTGTTTAGTTACTTGTTTGAAATGTTTGAAGTTTTTATTAGTTTCACTTTTATTCTCTTTTGTCTGAGGAGGGATTGAAGAAATTCAGAGCAATTGTTAAAATAAAACAGTCACATAGATCCAGTCTGTTTTCATTTGGTTTTAGATCCACATAATGGCATTGCAGATGCAGCACTTGTGGAACAAATCTTAAAACAAAAACAAAAAAAACAGTGACATTTCCAATGCAAACAATTATATTCACTGTTACATTTGTCATTATGTGCGTCCCAGGATACTAATTAAGCACTTTTTACCCTTTTTATTAAGTTTGTATATTTCAATGAAAGCCACCAAAATGTTCCAGTTGTATGAATTATAGGATGCAGGTTTTACTTACTTCATGATATAAATCCTGCGCAACTGTGTAGTCAAACTCAAAGCGAACACGTTTTTATTATTAAATGAGAAACCACACAAGGTTCAGCAAGGTTAGCGACCTACGACAAGCTTGTATAGGCTTCACCATCAGTCGTCATTCTGCAGTGTAGAGGAGACTGGGTGTACATTTTTTCTCTTTTTTATGCCGATTTTGTTTTTTACATGCACAATACCATCAAAGCATAAATAAAATGTGTTTAAAAAACATCAGCTTTCCCAACGTGTAGGTGGAGTGGACACTGCTCTTTCGGCTGTTCTCCAAACACCAGCAGTACTTCAGTGTGACCAGAAGGAGGCGCACTTAGTGTATGTTTGAATACCCCATCTGTCTACAGCAGTAAAACTGTGTTATTGTTAAATGACATTAACAGTGTGCTGTTAATAGTGTCCTGAGCTGAATAACTGTATTACAAAGTGGCGAAAGTAATATAACATCTCTTTACTGAAGTAAAAGGTAGAAGTCATTTTACAAAACAATGTTCAATATTTAGACAATATTACAGCTACTTTATGAACTTATTACTACATATTAAAATTATCTTAAGGCAATTTAACTCTTTGTAAAAAAAAATATACCTTTCAGTTATAAATTCTCTCTGTTCAACACATCATTGACTCCGTCTGTTAGGTTCAAAGTCAGCTTTGAGTAGCTTTTGTAAATCAACTATGCCTCCACCAACCCAGTGGGTACTTGATCAAACTGCAATCTGGGTCTTTTGGATACTGGGTTAATGGCTATGGATCTTTGTCATGTTCATGCAGTTTTAATCGTTTTTGAACTGGGAGAGGTCCAGTGCCCTGCTATGGAGCGTGGGGAGGGTAAATCTTAAACATAGAGTGCATCCAGAAAGCATTCATGTATCTTCGCTTAT